TTTCCCCCTTAAACCCCCCTTTCTCTCCTCAAGAGCTCACTTTTAAAGAGAGATTCAAAGGGGTTCCACAAGCATCGCGAACCCAATCAGCCCTGGTTCACAAGGTCAACCTTTAACTACGCTATGTTTTACTTCTTGATGGTTCTATTCGGTCTTCTTTTTATTGGCTAAATCGTATGTGTACAGTTGCATATTTCTGGTACTTTTACTTTTGCGTAGAACGTGTTTCTTCTATTATATGATGAAGATTATCTATCAACCCTGTTATTTAAATAAAAAAATTTCTGTAGTCGGAGATGAGACTTTTTGAAGGATCTGACACCATGACTCTTAAGCAACATTTTGGAAAGAAAATAATGGAACTTGAGGACGAAAAACGTGCAGTGCAGGTAAAGGACGATAATCACAAGTTGTATCATTTTTTGCTGTTGATGTTTGCATCGTAATATTTCTTACTGATGCAGATAGAGAGGGATCGATTGTTTGCTGAAGTTGAAAACCTTTCTGCTTCTTCAGATGGTCAAACACAAAAAGTGAAAGATATGCACTCCCACAAATTGAAGTCTCTTGAATCACAGGTCAACAGCTGATAAGTATTCGCACTTGATGCTCTGCTCTTATGGACTCGGATGTCCCAATCAACAATCTTGTTATAATATGTAATAGTTTTTCAAAATTTTATGCATCTCAGATTCAGGATCTTAAGAAGAAACAAGAGAGTCAAGTTCTGCTTTTGAAGCAAAAACAAAAGAGCGATGAAGCAGCAAAAAGATTACAAGATGAAATACATTTCATCAAGGCGCAAAAGGTGGGAAAAGATGTATGCTCCATAATTATTATCCCTTTACATGAGTAAATTTGCTGCTAATTTAGATGATGTTTTAGGTTCAACTGCAGCACAAGATAAAACAAGAGGCTGAACAATTCCGACATTGGAAAGCATCTCGTGAAAAGGAATTACTGCAGGTAAATATTTATAGTTTTACTGAAAGGACATGTGGCACACATGGTAATTATATTTAATAACACTTGAATACTTGCTATTTTCGAGCTATATCTTTGAGAAAGAAAGTTAAATCAATTAGAGAGATAGGTAAATTAAAAGGTTCAACTGAAGTAATGAACGCAGTTCAAGACTTTTTAAGTTAGTGTGATTTTATTAACATAAGAACTCACTAAATAGAAGAGCTTAATCTGAATTCAATCACATAACATGTACGACTCTATTAAAATAACGAGAAGGATTTCAGAAACATGAATACAAGTTAGTTTAGGTGTAAAACTGTAAGGGTCTGTCATACTTCTATATAATAGCTAGATATTTTTTTTTCACGTAGGGTGCTATTACAATCACATTCTGCTTTCACTTCTACAAGAATCAGGTGATTGAGAATATTATGATTCATAACTTGGTGGATTCAGCATAAATATAATTTGATATCATCGTTACATGTTTGATAAGTTACTTGTCACCCATAATCCCTTACTGGAACTCTCCTTTCCATTTCTCCTATCTGTCATTCTTTTCCTTCTACGGCATTAATAGATCGACAAATGTAGGATTAAAATAGCAGTATGCTTAGAGCATGAATAATTTATATTCGAAGACAGTTTATGAATAACTGAATCTTCTTTTCTATTTAATTGCAGCTAAAGAAGGAAGGGAGGAGGAATGAATACGAAAGGCACAAACTACAGGCTCTTAATCAACGTCAAAAAATGGTGAGATTCTTTTAGTAGCTTCTATATCCATTTTGTTGCTATGAATCCTTAGCAAAACTAAAGTCACTTCCTATTCCTTTAAGAGAAAGGAGTTGACATGGTAGTAAAAATATGGTGCATTATCGAAGGACTGTTGCTTTAGACATGCTTGATCAGTAAGGCAGAAAGCCTTTAGTGACGCACCACTAAATTATTTTGGGAACACAGCAAAGTTGTATATTTACTCCGAGCACAGCATTAAAAGTATAACTAAAAATGGTTCTGGACATTGGGTGCCTCGTTTTTCTGTTATTAGAATTACAAGTTAAGTTTGTGTATGCAGTGTTGCAATATCTTATTGATATAGTAATTATTTTGATCACTTTTCAGGTTCTTCAACGGAAGACTGAAGAGGCTGCGATGGCAACCAAGAGACTAAAAGAATTGCTAGAAGCCCGCAAATCTACTCGTGACAACTCAGGTATATTCTTGCTTCAACTTGGGTATTTTCATCAAATTCACACACATAACATGTAAATTTTGATCATTTGGACCTTGTTTCCATGGATTCCCTTCGTATACTCTCATTGGATGTTCATATCACCACCAAATCTTTTTCATAATCTTGTAACTGGACTGTGGTGTCTTACAGTGACTAGCAATACAAATGGAGCAAATGGACAGGTAAATACATCTAGGGGGGGTTATGACATTTGATATATTCGGCCTTGGATGAACTTCTATTGAATTAAGTTTCCTTCTCAGAACAATGAGAAGGCCTTGCAGCGATGGCTTGATCATGAGCTGGAAGTGATGGTGAATGTTCATGAAGTTCGACATGAATATGGGAAACAAAGCCAAGTGTATGTAACTACTATGTTTTGCGATATAAATCTGGAAAAAAGATGTTTCACTTTGGCCCTTAGTGAATTTTGTTTTCTTATTCAGGCGTGCTGCCCTTGCAGAAGAGCTAGCAGTACTCAGACAAGTTGATGGATTTGCTTCTAAAGGGGTTAGCCCTCCTAGAGGAAAGAATGGTTTCTCTAGGTATAATTGTAATTCCTTGCACTTGCTCTCCATTTCTTGGACAATCTTTGAATTATACCTCTCGGCATACGGGTACCAGGAAACAGCCGCTCTACTCCTTGAGGTAGAGGTCAGGTCTACGTATATCCCACCCCAGACCCCACCTCCGGGTGGGGTATATTGGGTTTGTTTGGTTTGGAAACCAGGAGCTTTTTTGAGTGAAGCAACTAATAATGGGGTGGTGTGATCTATCTGTTTAAGGGCGTGTTCTTTGTCACCAAACGCAAGAATGGCAAGAATATCTTCATTGGAGAACATGTTAAGCATTTCATCCAACTCACTTGTATCTATGGCTTCCCAACTGTCTGAGGCAGAAGAACGGGAACGTGCCTTTGCTAGTCGTGGACGTTGGAACCAGCTGCGGTCGATGGCAGATGCAAAGAATTTGCTTCAATATATGTTTAACTCTCTTGCAGATGCTAGGTAAACCTTCTTAATTTCATCCTTCCTTCCATCACCTTTTATACCAGTCCAATTCACCATTCACAACATCATTTTAAGATGGCTACTTATCATTTGGAAAATGATTTTTGACTGGTTGAATACTTTTTTTTTTATTCTTGTTCTGCAAAATAGGTGTCAATCATGGGAAAAGGATCTAGAAATGAAGGAAATGGAAGAACAGCTAAAGGAGCTTGTAGGGCTACTACGACAAAGTGAACTGAGAAGAAAGGAAGTCGAGAAGGAGCTAAAAGTAAGGGAGCAAACTGTGGCAATTGCATTGGCTTCATCGGCTTCCGTAAGACTTGCCTTGTTTTCTTTTTCGTTAAACTCATCATTCTATCTTTAAACCGTTGAATGTATTCAAGAAAATAAGCATAACCTTTTAGCAATGTAGATTTGGAAGACAAATTTACTTGGATTTTGGACTCCTAGGCAATATGGCAACTATAAGCTAGCTTATTTCGAGTTTATTTAAAAAGGCCCATTTCAAGGCGCCATTTTCCAATTATGCCCCTTATATTTTTCCAATTAGTTTTTCAACATGTCATTTTAGATCATTCTAATAGTCGTCTAGCTTATTATACGACAACTAGCTTAGTTTGCCAAGCATAGCCCTAACCTTCGCTAATAAAACAGGGAAACTCCCACAATTCGCTGAAACATTTGGCTGATGACATGAGTGGTCCGTTATCTCCTAATTCAGTGCCAGCACCCAAACAGCTCAAGTACACAGCAGGCATAGCCAACGGTTTAGTCAGGGAATCAGCATCCTTTCTAGACCAGAAAAGAAAGGTTTGTTTTGTGTTCTTTGTTTCTTTGACGTCTCTAAATTGCTATGCTTAACTGAATTAGAATCTCTGGAGTGTAGATGGTTCCAGTTGGGCAGTTGTCGCTCAAGAAGTCACCGCTGGTAGGACATTCTCCTGGGAAACTGTGGAGATGGAAGAGGAGCCATCATCAATGGCTACTGCAATTTAAATGGAAGTGGCAAAAACCTTGGAGACTCTCGGAACTCATAAAGCACAGCGATGAAACAATGATGAGGGCGAAACCGCGTCCACAGCCTCTGCCGGAAGTCATGTATCATCATAGACACTGAGTCTATATGCTGCTGTATATTCTTCTTTCACCCCACTTCGATCTCCAACATAGTTCCGATCATGGAAATAAATGCAGGTGAAACTTCTCAACATCACCCGCCCAACAGGTTGAATAATATTAAATGCACGACCCTTCTTGACAGATATAAGAATGTTTCTGCCTAACTGAAAAATGTCTCTTCCTACCACAAGAATGGTTCAAAATTATCAGAAAGTCGTGCATTTAAAAAAAATCTGCTGCTATTATCATTTGCTCCGATTGTTGAGAGGTTCCGATTTTCGACTAATATATATATGTCCATGATGGTTCAGATGGTGAGCGGATAAGTTGTAAATCTTGGAATCGAGCTTGTGAAGCATGTGCTTGATTGACCAGTTTGGGGTTTGCTCGACGATTGGAAATGGTGAAGTACTACCATAGGTTGATCGGTGTAGATTTTGCTCCGGATTTGGTGTTAGATATCTGTGGCGCTTTTTAACTTCCGAGGGGATCAAGAGAACATTCGGTTGAGATGTGTTTTCCGGTTTCCTTTTCAGTTAGCTGTATTGATAAGTTGGTTGTAGTGAATGTATGTGTGGCATAGAGTCTCATTTGTAAAAACAGCAAAAGATAGACGTATAATTTTTGTCAAGAGTGTTTTCAGTATTTTCTTCACTTCTGTGTAAGCTCTTGAATACAACAAAAGGGATTATCGTTCTAATCGCGTTTCATCTTTCTAACCAGACCAAACTCGGAACCTAAACTGACTTTATAGGATGTCAAATATAAACTGTTTCATATATTTACGTCTGTTTGTTAGCAGTTTAATGAGACTGACAGCTTATTCGGTCAACTATACATGAATATTTGGTGTGACTTAAATATCTAAAAAAGTGGCTTATTCAATAAGCTTTTAGGAGAGCTTCATGTAGAAAGCCCAAAAAATTCCAAACCTGCCCTTCCCAATTAAAAAACAAGCTCTTTCCATCAATGAAAAAACCTCTCGAACAAAAACCTTCCCAATCTATACAACAAACAAGACGCAATCATCACTTTGATAACTTTTTAAGACTTCCAAAAAGGAGGTTGGGATGACATCATGTTACTTGTGCCCTATTTGGGGAAGAGGAAATCATGGGTTACTCCTGAAAGTTGTATAATCCTTTTTATCTTGGTTTATTGTTGCAGGTTCACATTTGGGGGTTCTATTACACTATGAAAGCATTACATGCCAATTTCATGGCAAAAGCCATGAAACTGGATCACCATTTACACACCATGATCAGCTAAGAACGACCGCACCAGAATGCATAGTGCTCGTCCCTACGGTCATTGCTAACAAGGCCTCCGCATTGTAGACAAACGAAGCTACTTCCATCCGAGAACGCATCCAGCACGATTTGTTTTCTTCCCGTCTCCGCCAGTATAGAAGTTCCACTAGTATCTGATTCGAAAGACGGAAATGGATGGCTGATTGTGTTATTAGATGTAGATGGTTCAGGTGAAGCTTCAGCGATAGCACATTCAGCAAACAACGATGCCAGCTCATCAGCAGCAGTCGTTTCGTGTATTTTGTTTCTGTAGAGCTCTTTAGCTCGAGTAAGTGCTTGAAAGGCAGCAGCTTCTCCTCCCTTGGCTCTCATTGCCGTCAACACCTGTCGAAAAAGTGATGCTTTCTGGTTTTAACAAGAGTTCTACAAATCCATACTATATTATAAAGCATTTGACAAAAACTCTTAAAAACCATTTTTTATGCATAAAATACTACTTACTGATGCATATTACTTAAAATTCAAGATTACAAGTATATTGTGCATAACTACAACTTATTAAAGCTTTATATTCGAATTCGTGTAACTAACTGCAGATAAACATAATTAAATACATGATAAACATCTCATTTTAATTATAATAAATCTAAAATATAATTAGAATAATCATTGAATTCTAACAGAATACTTAGGAGGTGTTTGGGATTGCTTATAAAAACAATTTATTGACTTATTCCGGTGTGACACCAGTAATAAGCACTTTTGAGTGTTTGGATAAACAACTTATACCGGTGCCAAACCAGTAATAAGAAGTTTTTGAAGAAGTTAAACTCTCCTGACTTATAATAAGTTGATAAGTGCTTTTGTAAAAAAACGTAAGTTGTTTCAAATAAGCAATCCCAAACACCCCCTTAGTTATTATCTTTATAAAAAAAATATATTATTATAACAAAAACATATTGTTTCGTTTAAACTTAAAAAATTATATTATTAAAACCAAAAATCATATTATGTTATTTTTTCAAATTTTATGATATCTTCAAATTTATATTTTATTCAAAAATAAAACATTATCGTTTTCTTAAAACCACGTAAAATCGTACTCTGACATCGATAGAGATTAGAATAAAACGAAACATTAACAGCGATATGTATCTCGCTGCATTGCACAAGTACCTTTCTAGTACTTTGAAAAATTAGGAGATGGGACACAGAAGGATATCAAAGGGTCTTTTGGCCTAGCGATGCCCAGGTTACTGGTAGAGCCCAACCTCCCCGGAGGTCAAAGGTTCATGCATCACCAAAAGTGAGGAGTGTCTATGAGTTTTATCATATATAAATATAAATATTATATACTTCAAAGGAATAAAATAAAAAGATTGCAGTTCAACCATTCAAGATAGAACCAAAACATACCAACAAAGTAAATCTTAAACTGAGGTAGATCCGCCCCAACCCCACCCGCGGATCTCAGAAAATCAAACCAAACTTACCAAGTAAATCTGTAGCAGAGTAGTATGTATGCAGACTTTACCTCTACCAAGGGGTAGAAAAATGACATATACAGTAGTATATAGCATATGTTAATTGTATCCAAGGCTCCTAAGGAAATAAATCATCTTATCACTTTATTGTTCATTTATTTATGGGAGATTTTGTGGGATCATTGTTCTTCTCTATTAGAAACTTCTCTATGTTCTTCATCCGTGGTCTATAATTGTTTTTCTACAGTGATGCTTCCTTAATCTGGAAACTTTCCATACAGGGAATTTTAAATATCCTACGCTTGTTACTCAGCGCTGTGCTTTCATACTCTAAATCATTTTGCAACTACAGACTATGCTACTAAAAGTTAGATAGAAATTATAGAATTGCCAGCAACCAGGCTCCCTCCTGCTTATTCGGGTTCTTTGGCTAAATGACCTTCTCACAGGTTATGACAGTGTCACTTCTTAACAGAAGAATGCCTCTTCCATACACCCTACAAACCTGTCAGAAGGTCATGGATGTAAAAAAAACATTTGTCAGGAGGTCATTTAGCTAAATTTGAAGTAGTATTTAATTTAACTGACTATAACAAAGAAGCTGGTCTTCACTTCTTTCTCTTTTCCTTTTTCCTAACTGAATCTAAATCTTCCTCATCTCCAGTCACAACGTTTTCCCTTATCCAATTAGTCTATTTTGTACAAGCTGCTACTCTATCCATACCAAAAGTAATTGTTGTATTTTCCTTCCTGAAACAGTCTATTTTCCCCTGTAAGAATGGCTAAATTGAAGGAACAAAATGTAAATTGTATCTACAAGCCTCCAAAACATCTCAAACTCCTATAAGCAAAAAAAGCATATAAAGAGGGTGGGGGGGAATGAACCAGGACTTGGAAACAGAATACTACAACAGGAAGGCCATTTCAGGCCCAAAATGATCTCAAAACCAGAAAAAGAGTGGTGCCCACCATTAGGATGCCAATGGGTTATGATTTATGAATAAGGTCCAATTCTGAAAATATGAAAAACTACATTAAACTTGCTACACCAATACTATGGGAATATTTCAAGTTTGGGGAAATGATAGCCTTCTCCTACATATCACCTTTCCACCATGAGAAAGACTAGACGAGGAGTCTGCATCATCATCAATCTCACCATGGCAAAAGGGTAAACTTGCAACACTAACGTGCAAAATATAGTATAACCACCCAGCAGCTCAACGTAACATGCATCATCATTGATCCACACTGGCATAATGATTATCCCATCTGCCTGCAGCTGCTCCTTCCCAAAATAATCCACAAAGATACACTCTTTTGCAACTGAGTCCAATCTAAATCACCTTTTTTTGGAAACAATATGCATTTGGAAATTCTCAACTCACTGCTTAAACTAGTCATTGTGCTGAACAAGTCTCCAAACTAACTTGCTCATGGAATCACTTGATCTGTCTAGCCTGCTCCTCTACATCAGCACCAAACAGCCTATCGATAGGAAGTGGACGTTTCATCAGGTGGGTTGTTGGTAGTTGTTTGTGAGAGAGAGTGTCTTCTGGTGTGGCTAAGTCAAAGAAAGAAAACTCATCTCCTTGACTCTTATATATAAGTCCAGTAAGCAGGATTTTTGCTAATTTCATCTTAACCCAAGCATAAAAATTGTAGCTAAAAAAGCTCTGTAATGTCATAGATGTTCTATATCACTTGGAAAGATGAACATGCATCTCCCACACATACCTTGGTTTCCTGGATGACTAAGTCTGTGACGGTTAGAGAACATTTAGACCATTTTTTGATGAAAAGCTTGCAACCCAAAGTAGGATTGTTTTTTGGCTAGGTCCATAGCACACTTCATTGTACGTCAAAAGTCAAGTGTAACCTTTATATCGGAAGGGAGGGTAGGCAAATTAAATAATATAACTATTGCATGGTTGATGGCTTTAGCAGGGGTTAGAATCATGTAAAGCTTCCTCTTTCATGTAATATGGTCGAGTTGGGAATGAGGAAGAATGGTTTGACCGTCTGACAGCTATATTTCGGATAAGAAACCAACAGAGTGTAACTAGAAACCATAACTACTTTCTTACTTACGCTTATATAGAAGGACATGATCGGTTCCCTTCCATTTCCCTTGTCATACCTGAGGAAAACTTGTAAAGGCAAGAAAGCTGAAGATGGTGGTGAAGGATTTAACTCGAATAAGCACAGAGGCCTAGAGCTTTTACTTTTTGAGTAATTATAAGCACAAGAAAGATAGCCATTGCTACTTCAACCATATCATTAATTTAAGCATATGTCTCATACCTAATCAAACAGACTACCTGATGAAAACTCTTAACGTTTTAATCAAATCTCTAAAGCAGTCACCTTGTTAAGGAAGCAAATAAGTTCATGCAGGCTACCCTGTACAAGCCTTGCACATGAGCATCCAATATGCATAATGCTCCATCCAAATAAAATACAAGTTCCAAAAAACAATTTCAACTCTAGTAAGATGTTACAGGTAAACCACAATCTAGATTTAAGAATGGAGAATTATCACAAGCTTATTCAATGCCTCTGTTACATACATGATACATGTTTAAGGACCAGGTGCTTTACCATCAACCACTTGGCACAAGGATAACATGAATGCCTTCTTAAACAATTATGAACGCAAATCATGCACTCAGTTCAAAATTAACACAAAAAAGCCGAAGCATTGTCAACCAAAATTAAGGAGCGGATCTTGGAGCAAAAAAGAAAACTCCAATTCAACAGCATCAAAGCAAGTAAAAGTGGCATACTTCCTCGATTCTAAAGAAAACCTACACTTTGAACCTAAAAAACCCCAATTGAAAATTTGAACTTCCATTGCCGTGAATCAACCTTTTTTTTTTTTTGCAATAAACAAATAAAAATTGCATCAATTTTGAAAATTCATGATGAGTGTTACAAAGTGGATTACATCGTGTGTACGGGATAATCAATACCAAATTAGTTCGTCAAAATGTAGGCTTTTCCACAACAGTTAGCATTCGAATCAGAAAAAAAGGGGAAATCAAGTTAAGAGTTGAAACAAATTAGAAGAAATGAAGCTGCGATAGTGGTGATAAAAAGAAGTACCGCTTGAAGAGCTTGGGAAGGCTTTCCCTGATCAATGAGTTGGCGAGCTACTGTGAGTAATCTTCTGGCAACTTCAATCTGATCGGACACCGAGGAAAGTTCAGTGGTGTCGGAAGGGGAAGAAGTCACCGGAGCATCGGAATCCATCATATCGACGTCCTTAGAATCCATGGCATTATCTCAAAGCTTGCTTTGAATTTGAGTTGGAATGATGTTTTTCTGTGGCTAGGTTTTCTGTTTTTGAGTTCTTGTGCTTACGTTCCTTTCAGACCTTTCCCTAATATTATGCTTCCTTTTTCGAAAGGCCAACCTTTTGGTTTATAAATTTGAAAATATATTCTTATTGATTATCTTATAAATCAGATTTATCAAAAGGCTTTAAAACAATTTTTAATAAACAAAGCATGTACGAAGTCTTAAAAATCTTAAAAATAACTCATAATACATTAAGCACTACTACTTTATGCATTCAGTTTTAAAATCTCTTAATCTACAATTAAAATAACATATAGTACAAGTTATCAATGCTCATTATTATCTTTTTTTTTCATCTACCCAATATATTTTTGCCACCTTTCACTCATGTTTTCCCCCTCTCATACCTTTATGTCTTCTTCTCATCCCCCAAGGTGAGATTCAAAATGATATTCAACATGAGTTATTAAAAGTTCTCTCATTCATCTCATTTAATTGCTCTAGAACTTTCGGTCTCGTTCTCGATCTTTTGATTTTTTCTCCTAGTGTAAATCGAACACGTTTGTGGAGTCGTTTAAATATGTTGAATTTTAAATATATTGGATTTTAAATATATTGKATTTTAAACTGTCATACAATTTTTTCATCGATAGACTGTAATTTGAATCATAACTCTTATTTATTCAAATTGTATTAATATGTAAAGACCAAGTGTAGCTTATATCATCATTAAATCTTCTCTAATAAAACCTGTGAAACTTTAAAATCGTTAAAATCCACAGCTCCGCCGCATTGCGTAGGTACACAACTAGTTTATATTTGTCGAAAAATAGTTTTAAGACTTGATTACTTAAAATATGATAGTTCATTCGTTTTTATACTTTTTTTATAAAATATATTTTTAAATACACATCTTTTCTAAAATAATTAAGGGGATGTTTGGGATTGCTTATAAAAACAACTTATTAACTTATTCCGGTGTGACACTATGTAAGCACTTTTGAGTGTTTGAATAAACAACTTTACATACAAATCCTTCGAAATCATTTGAAATACCAACACCCTCTTGTGATTTTGAAATCCCAGTATTTCAAATCAAGGATATCCTTCAAAACAAACATGAGATTGAAATGTAATTCAATTCCATATCCAATCTAATCCTACAAACCAAACGAGACCTTAATTTTTTTTATTTATGTGTTTGTATATGTTTATTTAGGTCTATTTTGAATGAACCTGTTATTAATTTCATATATGGGTGTTTGTGGTGTGAAGAAAAGTCAAATCCACAAATCGTAGTTGCACTTTTTTTTTTCCAAATTGTAAATCGCACCACATTTTGAGGCACTACAAAAGTGCGTTGCGGTGCAGTTTTTACGGGTTGCATCTGATTCAATTTGAAGCACAATTTATACAATAAAAAGTATACAAAAGTTGCAAAAAAGATTTATATATCGCTAAAAGCATAGACTCAAGACTACAAATTTAATTACATTGGGTTGAGAATAGACGTGTTAACGAGTTGAGTTAAGTAGTAGGGTGTTCGAACTCGGCTCGAAAAGATAAAACCAACCTTGAGCTCAAATAACTTTTTTTCAAAATAGGGCTCGAGATCGAAGCTCATTTAACAAATTTGAGTTATACAATATATCTAAAATTCAAATTTTAAAAGCTAATTTATAGGCCCGAGCTCAAGATCGATCAACTCGTTTATTGTTTCGAGCTTGACAAAAAAATTTTAATATTTTGATTGTATAATTTAAAAACATATATAAAAATGTGTTCTTGAATGATTCAACTTGACTCGAAACGTGGTGTGAATCAAAACGTGGTGTGGCAAATCAAAACTACAAATTGCTGCACCTAGTGTCGTAATTTCAATTCAAACCGTATCGTGAAAGTTCTAAACCGCACGATATGGTACGATACAGATTATGTGGGTTGTGTGGTATTTTGAACACCCTTAACTCCACACTTACACGCATCAAAATGAAGTCATCTACTTTCATCTCCTTTTACATTTTCAGTGCATAATATTACCAAAAAAAAAAGTTCATTTAACAACACATGTTTTATTTTTAGTAAAGAATAATAGTAAATATTTGATTATAGAGACAACCTATTATTCTCTTTAGATGGAGAAAATATAGTCTATACTGAGAAAATATAGTCTATACTTTACCCACCTCAACCCTCAGACGTTAAAGCATCTTTAATAAGGGGTTGTTTGTTTGCTTCTTAATAGTTCCATTAAGAGACAATCTCTGAACCGTTGAAAGGTGAATCTTGTTTGACAAAAAAATAAAAAAATATACCTCTTAATGGTTCTAAAACTCTCTGAATGATTTTGTATCATGGATCTCCCTTAACCATTAAGAGCCCTAATTTCATTGTACACAATTACCAAATAATTATATTTCATTTTACGCTATATCATGAGAACCTTTTAATCATTCTAACCACTTAATCATTCTGCATCAAACCATTCATCAATTGCCAAACAACCCCTAAAAGGGTCTTAATCTTGATGAACTAGTTCATAAAATATTATTCCATTCAAAAGGAACCGGTGCATGCCAATGTGGAAAGGGAAAAAATCATAAACATGAACTGATTTTCATCAAGTTGGTGGGATCCAATCCAATTAAATAATTAAAATTTAGGTATTAGACATGTCCACGATTAGAATAGCACGTTGAGTTGGATTCTAATGAGAATGAAAGTTATGGTGAGAATGATAAGAAATAATCTCTATTCTTGGATCAATCTTAATTGAAGATCAAGACAAATTGGTGTACCAAGATGCACCAGATTAATTCCCACGACAAGTACAATTCATGAGATTAAAAGTGATCAAGAATTCATAACGAAGTTGTTCAAATTGAATAAGATAGAATTTCATATACAAGCGTTGATGAGTTGAGATATAATTTCTTAAACTATATGTTATAATATAAAAATAATCAATTAAAAATATACAAATATCAAGCAAACAAAAACATATATATATATAATCCCAAATGTAACTATAAATGCAGTTAAAAACAAATTCTTTCTTGCCATTCACCCGTCTCCTATGGCTTTATGACTATGACTATGAGGTCACAATTCCACAATCCTCCATTATCGCAGCTTCTTTTATCTCTTGTAGCATCTTTATTACTTGCCACATGGTGGGTCTCAGCTCCGGTGACCTCACCGTACACGCTATCGCCACCTCTGTAATCATTTCCAGTGGCTTTTCCGCCATGCCTCCGCCACCATTACTATCCCTACTCGACCTCACCCACTTCACCACATCATCCGGCAACAAATCTGGCTGCTCCGACGCACTTTTCCCTGTCAGTAACTCAAACAATAAAACCCCAAATGAGTAAACGTCCGATTTGGTGGTTGGTTCATCGTCTGTGCCTGTTTCTGGTGCCTTGTAGGGGTCGCCGTCGCCGTCATCTGGGAGGTGGTGGAAGAGGGAGGAGAGGCAGTAGTCGGAGAGACAGGCTTCGAAATCGGAGCCGAGAAGGACGTTGGATGATTTAAGATTGCCATGGACGAGGCTGCATGCTTGGTGGAGATAAGAAACCCCTTGTGCTACATCTTCTGCTATTTTCAAACAGGACGTCCAGTGCAGCGGCTTTGCCATTGTCGACTTTGAACCTGCAATATTTTCACATTTGAGATGAATCGTTCTACCGAATCAACTCAACGATTTTCCGCCTCCGCGGGAAGGGAAACTTACCGTGAACGAGTGAGAAGAGACTTCCGTTTGGCTGGTAATCGTAAACAAGAAGCTTCTCTTCCTTCGCCTGAAAATAAGCTCTGAGCGCCACCACATTTGGGTGGCGCAGCGTACCTACCACCTCCATGTGTCTCTGAAACGCCTCATTGGTGGTTCCGGCCAATCTCGAGGCATCTAACCGCTTCACGCACAGGATCACACCGTTGTCCAGCAACGCCTTGTACGTCGTCCCCACTGATCCGCTGCCTAGCAGCTCCGCCGACGCCCTCATCAGCTGCTCCACCGTGTACAGTTGCGATTCGCCGGTGTAGAACACCAGATTCCCACTCTTTTTCAATGCAATCCCTTGATGCAGCTTTCTCACCTTCTTTTCCAACTCGTTGGCATCCTCCATTCTCATCACCTCTGCCGCCGCATCCGCCGCCTCCGCCATCTCCATCATTTCACGCTTCGTAACAGTACTCTTTCTCTTCTTCTTCTCCGACGTCTTAATCAACATTATTATACATAAAACGGAAGTAACCAATAAGAACAATCCGGCGGAGAAACCAACGATCAATCCAAGTCGTTTTTGCTTTGTAGAGTTCGAATTTGTAAAACCACCGATCTCCGGCTGTACTTGTGCGCTTTGGCCACTCGCCACCACCGGAGGCGACGATGATGGCTGATTCGTGGTCGAATTTTTGCCAAAAAATGGTCCGCCCGAACCGCATTCTGTGCGAACGATCTTACCACACAATCGGGGGTTAATCGAAAACAAAGCCGGACCAAACCGAGAAAGTGTAGGAGTCACCGGAACAGGACCAGTTAGAAAATTAATCGAAACGTTGAAGATTTGAAGAGATGATTGATTGAGCGGTGGAATCGAACCACTGAAACGATTTGAATCGAGACGAAGGTAGTTTAATCGGTCTAAATCGCTTAACTCAACTGGAATAACACCGGATAATTTGTTGTAAGAAAGATCCAGAGTCCGGAGGCGGTGGAGGGTGGAGATTGACGACGGAATACCACCAGAAAAGTAGTTATGATCAAGAAACAATGCTTTGAGGTTAACTAGTCCGGCGAGATCAGGGATGGGTCCGGTGAGCGAGTTGTTTCGCAGACTCAAAACCCGTAACTGGTCCAACCGACTCAAAGTGTTTGCAGCAAAAACACCGGCGAGATTCAAGTTCTCAAGAACAAGTCGTCCGACCTTGCCGTCGATCTGGCATTGTACTCCCTGCCATTTGCAGACGGCGGAGCTCTTGTCGACGGAGTAGCCAAGCTTGTTACTGGGATCAGCTTCAGATTTAAACGCTAACAACGATACACCATCGTCTTGTGGCGGCGATGAGGGATTCGAATTCAGTGCTGCCATAGTTAAACTGTAAAAGGAGAGTATGAGAAGGGCATTGTGAAGGAAGGATGATCTCATCTTAAAAATCAATGGCGGTTGATGATGAAACGGTGGGTTGGAGTTAAGAGGGTGTTATTGTTGAAGGTGATTTCCATGGAGGTTTAAGGAAAAGGAGAATGAATCGTAATGGTGACTATACTGCAAAGGGAAGCAGAGTCAGGAATCACGTGGAGGGTTTGGAAAAGGAGAAGAGGTGGGGGAAACCTTTTGGCCAATAAGTCTTTTAATAAACCAAAAATTCTATTAATAAACAACCAAGCAATTTCAATAAATTTATATTAAATAAAATCATTTTATGATTTATGGAATATAAACCCCTACCCTATAATTGAGGGGAAATTGATTTAAATGCTCATGTTTTATAATTAAATTAACTATTTTCTTCAGATTTTATTTAAAAAGCCATTAAGAAGCCGTTTATTAAATGTATAAATTTCTTTTTTAGATTAATATGAGAAGGGTTAAGAATCTTCTTGGGTAAAAGCAATGAGAATGGTGAAGAGTCTTACCCAATAAGTGAAGATGACGACTCTTACCCGGTAAATTGTTGCATTCGATATGTTTTGTTGAACTAAAATCTTACGTATCAAAATAAATTATAGTGTTAACTGCTATTGATAAGCGCTTACCGGGTAAGCATTTGGGTAACGGCCCCTAAGTCTACAATACTTAATTGCAGATCCACTAAACAACAAAAAATCAATGTTTTTGGGTCAGGTCCGTAACCATCGGTCTGCAATTATTACGGATTCGACCCAAACCCCATTTTCCTATGAAACCGTCAAGGTGGATCCGTGTTAATGGGTTTTAGGTTGGATCCGTGTTAATGGACCTGGGACAAAAAACTCTAAAATTTTGTCATTGAGTGGGTCAGCGATAATTACGGACCACCTAGTGACTTTTGGGTAAAGTCCGGAGAGAAGTGGTTAGAAGGTCAATTTGGTTGTGAAATATGGTCATTTGGGTCAATTTCCCATAATTTAGAGTTAAAACCACAAATTGAACCGTATGTCATTTGAGCTTTTTTTTTTAACTGTAAATCAAATTATATGACTCAAAATGTTTAAAAAAACCATAGCTAAGGGTGTGCATCAGGTGAGTCAGACAATTTCAGGTGGACAAATAAAAAATCCGATCAGATTTTGAATATGAAAGTCAAGCCCCAAATTTTGTGTTTTGGATTTTGGATTGATCGGGTTTCATATTGGGTCGGTCGGATTCAGATATAATTATATACAAAAGATGTATATATATATTCAATTGATTAAAAATCATATTCAACCCGAACCTATATATAACCCATTTTTGGATTTTAAAGGTATCGAGTTTTGGACAAACACCTCATTTCTTATTTGGGTTTCGGATCATTCGGATTTTATGCACTCCAAATCAACAAAAGAGTTATAGGTGATTTTTATGCTTTAAATATCAAATTTAATGATGATATTAAATAGTCATTTAAGGTTGTCTTCTTAAACAAATTGAGATGAATTAATGTTTCGTTTGTCCACGTGGAAGCTGGACCCCACCACTGCATGGGATGGAAACCCTTCATCTCCGACGAGCGGTCCCCTTTAATATGACGGTGGGGTATATTTATTTCGGAAATTAATTAAAATAGTTGTTTTAAAAGTATACTACTCGTCTAATGCAATGATATATATTTTAATTTTAATGTTTTGTTTTATTCTTTATTTCTATCGATGTTACAAAACGGTTTTATGATTTAAAAAGACGATAACGTTTTTATTTTTGAATAAACATAAACTTGAAGATATTTTAAAATTTTGAAAAAAATACGTGGATATTAATATCAAATTAACTATTTAAAAGTTCTTGTTTTCTATAATTTCTTTAAAAATTTAATCTAGACTTAATAACGAAGTAATTTATTTTTTGTTTAATAATATAAGTTCTTATAAAAACAATAATTGAGTATTCTGTTATGATTTAATGATTATCCTAATTATATTTTAGTTTTTTTATATTTAAAATGAGATGTTTATTCTTATTTGATTATGTTTATCTGTTGTTAGTTACACGGATTCAAATATGGAGCTTTAATAAGTTGTACTTACGCACAATTTAATTGTAATCTTGAATTTTAAATAATGTGCATCAATAAACAACATTTTATACATAAAAAAAGGGGTTTTAAGAGTTTTTATCAAATGTTTTATAATATAGTATAAATTATAATAAAGTATATAAAAGTCCGAATTAATACAAAAAAATTACATTCAATTCTTACCGCTAATCTATATTAACAATTCTAGTATTAACAATAATATAATCAATACAGTTAGTAAATATATTATTTCTCTCTTCTATACATTTAAGTTTCTCAGTTCTTTATAGACTTTTAGAGATTTTTCTAAATTTAGGTATTTTTATTAATTCAGGGGCCGTTTACCAAACGCTTACATGGGTAAGCGCTTACCAAGTCATGTTACCTCACCTAATGAATATGGTAAGGACTAATAATCTTACCCGGTAAAAGTTAGACAATGATCATGAATCTTACCCGGTAAGTAAGGGCGATGACTCTTACCACGGTAAGCGCTTACCGGGTGAATTGTTGCATACAATGTTGTTTTGGTGGACTAAAGTTTTACCCGTTAAGTAAATAATAGTGTTAAATTTTACCGGTAAGTACTTACCGGGTAAGTGTTTGGTAAACGACCTCTCACTCTCATTTTTACTATTTTAACATTAAGGATAGCATAGTTGTTGAAGCAACAAAAATGAGATTTGATGTTCTGACGCATTGGTTTTACATGTTAGCCATTTCTCTTCGAGAATTACATAAATGTCACTTGCTCCTCAATTTTCATTATTAAACGACAAAAAAAAATTCATTTTTTTAACACCTGTAGAAGAATTACGGACGTGGGTGAATAATGTAAAAAAAATTACGAACGTGGGTGAAAAATGTAATTTTTCTTTTGTCGTTTAGCTATGGACCTGAAATTGCGGAGGGAGTGACATTTATATAATTCTCAGAGAGAAATGGCCAAGAGGTGAAACCATATGATCAAAATAGCCAATTTAATTAATTTACGTATTTATTCCAACGTCGCTGTATACCTTTGTTTAATTTGGAATAAGGTAAATCATGTATTGAAAATGTAAAAAAACGAGTCTTCATGTTGATGTATATGGATGCATTTAGTAGATGAAGGATCATGTGAGAAGCAAATTAATTCACGATCACATACCTTATGTGATAAATAGATAAAATAAAACATTATTGAATTAAAAATGGTAACATTATCCATCGTAATGGTGATACTCCCTAGTAAGAGGGTGTTTGGGATTGCTTATTTGAAATAACTTATGTTTTTCTATCAAAACATTTATCAACTTATTATAAGTCAGAAGGGTTTTAACTTCTTCAAAAAATTCTTATTAACAATGTGGCACCGGTATAAGTTGTTTATCCAAACACGCAAAAATGTTTATTACCAATGTCACACCGGAATAAGTAAATAAGTTGTTTTTATAAGCAATCCCAAACACCCCCTAAATCGGATGAGTTTGTTTTTCAAACCAGTTTTTAATAATCTTTAATAAACCGATTTCATCACAAAGATAAATCTGTAACAACTTAATTTACTTGGTTTGGGTTATACTTTTGAACAAGTTGGATTGGGTTGAGATTTTTCTTGACCGTCATAATCAGGTTTGGTTGTGTAAATGTAATAAACCATCCAATCCAACTCGTGTACACCTCTTCTATCTTTTTTTCTTGTCTCTTTTTTTTGTTCGCAAATAAGAATCAACTAAAGCAAATTAAGTACGTTATTCAATTAATTGAAATGTTTAACCTGAAAACCAAATAATCCGAAACCATTTTCACTTGGATACATGGGTTATTCGATTTAAAAAAAAGTTAACGCCCTTAAATGTAACCCCGATCAGCAAGTGTCTGTATCGGTGCACCGAGGGTTTATAAATTGAAATTTGTCCAAAAATGTATTAATTTTATTTCATTAATATTTAAATTGCATGGCATTCATGATTTCTTTCGATTATACGTAATTTCAACATTCTATAAATAAATTTAAATTTCGAATATTTTTTTCTTATTAACCTGGATATATAAACCGTTATGCGAGTCGACTAATCCCAGGGTAACCACCTGCTTTGCAGATAGCCCAGAGTCACCGCATTTGAACCTTCATGGCCATAAAGAGATTTTTATTCCTCCTTCGATTTGAACCTGGGACCTTCTAGTACTTTTGACATTTGGAGCCAAGTTCAAACCAATCAGGCACCACCCTTTGTGGTTCATTTCGAATATTTTTAGTGCTTGGCAAAAATGATAACAATCATTTATAGATAATTAAATATACTTCTCAAATGATATGTATTGTTTTTCCTCTAAAATGTGGGTTTTTCGATCGGTGTTTAGTTCAATCAGGAGAATGAATGAAAATAATAGGGAACGAGAATGAAAATTTTCATTCCTCTTACTTTAACTTTAAATGAAAATTTGGACTTGTGGTGGATTGAACTCGTTATATTCAATCTCATTAATGACTATTATAGTTAGTGGAGTTTTTCGCAGATCTTTGGAAAATAAGAAAACAAGCTCGAAAGAAGTCCAAAAAACAGGACCAAAAGTTGGACACACAGTCGTTTACGCGACTTCTCCTGCGGCTTGATTCGCGTGCTGAATCACGAGCGTGTTCTTACAAGTCGTGCACATATTACTTTTATTTGTTTATTTTGTTTTCTAATTAACTTAGGGTTATTTGTTTTCTAATTAGATTATTATTATTATTATTATTATTATTATTATTATTATTATTATTATTATTATTATTATTATTATTATTATTATTATTATTATTAGTTTGTTTTTTTGATAGAGAGGGAGGAGACCCATCTAAATCAAGAAAAAACGCTAAAAGCAAGACAAATAAGCGCTCGGGTGGGGGCGAACCACATCCACCGGAATAACCAAGGCACCCCGAGAGGAAAGAGAGGAAGGGAAGAGGGGGGAGAAGAGAAAG